TGTCAATTAAAAATCTGTCCTAAGTGCCCTACAGTTCTGTATTGCTAACTAAGGAGTTCCCATCAGAATCACCTGGGGATTTTTAGAAATGCAGAGGCCCAGGCTCCTCCCTAATCCAGCAGCTCTGGCTGGAGCAGAGTCGTAAGGCTCTATTGTAAAGCCTTACTGGTGGGTTTTCCATGGTAGCAGAAGTCACAGGGAGGACTCACTTCCATCATTCTGTCAGATACACTCCTGATGATGGTCAAAGTCAGCATTTGTATGTCCTCACCCACTTTCCCCTAAAATGATGACAACAGACATGTCCCGTGTGTCCCCATTCAGTGCTGGCCCTCTGTGATGAGCTGTGATCTGAGCTCACACAGTGGGTGGATTTGGAAACAGTGTTCCCAGATCTAGCGAAGAAACAGTATGCCCAGTCAAACGAATTTCAGATGCCCAGAAAATCATTTTTAGTAGAAGTATGTCTGGAACTGCATGGTACATATTTGTTATTTATCTGAAATTCAAGTTTAAGTGAGAGTCTTGTGTTTTATCTGGCAATCCTACTTGAGGGGGTGTCTTCCACATCTCTGAGCCTCAGTTTCCCTATCTGGAAAATGAGGGGGCTGGACTGACCAGATGACTTGTCTGTGCCCCCTATGGTTTGGAGGCTGTGATGCATGCATCCCATTTCCCTAGGAGCCTTTCTCTACATCCCCACTAAGGGGCGCCCTGAACCCTCTTCAGCTGGTGACTCAGCAAGGAGGACTCAGCTTGGTCCCACTGGCTCTGGAGGGGCCATCTGGAGATCAGGTTGTAAGACCTGGAAGGATTCAGAGGTACCCATCCTTAGGACAGCCTATTGAAAAGGGAAAAGGGGGCGATTTCAGAGTCTCTGAAGGCAGGACCATCTCTGCCAGCTACCCATCCACCATTATGGAGGAGACTAAACTGAACACACAGCGGGGAAGGTGCTTGTCCATGTTCACATAGCCGTCTTGGACATTAGATTCCCAACTCTGTATGGGGCTCCTTTACCTCCTTATAGAACCCTTATGTTTCGTTTCCAGTTGGTATGTTTAATCCTTGCCGTCCTAATAGCCAAAGCTAACGCAGACACCAGTCAGTCCACTAGAACTCAGACCTCTAGCTCCTTCACAAAGGGCACGTGACTTGTGCAGGACCAAGGATCCAGAAGTAGTCTAAGCAGTGGGAAAAAGCATGCCCCTTGCCCTCAGCCGAGAGTGGTTCATGCTGCTCGCAGTGGTAACTTCTGCCTGCCTCTGCCAGACATAATAGCCCCTGAGGAAAGGTCCGTCATCACTGGGTTTTCACAGGTGAGGGAAACAGCTGAGGCTAACAAAGTTTCTATGCAGCTGTACAGCACAGACTCCTCACCAGTGAGCGGTACAGGGACCTAGATGGTCCCCAAAGCACCCATATCTTTGACAGCAATGATGAAGTCTCTGATCAGAAGATTCCCAAATTCTTTGTGTCCCAAGTGGAAGTATCCAGGCAGGACACATGGGTGTAATGGAGTTATTAAAAGTTAGGAACTACAAAAGGGGCATGGTGGGACCAGGTGGAAACTGGAAGCAGAGACAGTGTCTTTCTCTTTTCCAGGTGTTTTTAAAACTTATGCTAACCTATGGGAAGGGAAGAACCACCAATAATTGATGAGTGGAGAGTGCCATGGGAGGGCCCCTGGGCCAGGTGAAGGTGGTTTGAGTTGTCTCTGAGCTAACACATTTGCAATTGAAAAGAAGGCCTAGAGAAAGAGAGGAATGTTCAAACTGAAATACAATATCAAGTCAGATATTCCAAGAGTCCTGAACTTTCCTTAAGTCTAACCTGCCTTACCTTCATGTGAAGAGGAACTGCTGGAAGGGAGGGGTGACCACCACTTTGGCTCAGGAGATGATTTAAGAGAATTACACATTTGGCATTAATTCATGTCTAATTAGTTGTGATTCAATTCTCCTCTGAACTGTTAATCAAGGAGAAAGGTGCAATTCAGATGGGGTGAATTTGATCAAGGTATATTATCAGTAAATATCATAATGAAAACCCTTTGTATAATTTATGCTAGTAAATTTTTTCTAAAAAGAAGAAAAGCTCTAAGATTTCTTCTTTTAGCCAGAAGAAGAGCATGGGGTTCATCCATCGTATTAGTTTTCTTGTTCCTATGGTATCATGCTTGACATAAACAACTTAAAAAGGAAATCATGGTTTCAGAGGGCTCAGTCCAAGGTTGTTTGGCTTCAGAGGGCTCAGTCCAAGGTTGTTTGGCCCCATGGACTTAGGGAAGACATTATGATGGTTGGAGTGTCTGGCAAAGAAAAGCTGCTCACTTCATGGAGATCAGGAAACACAGAATAGGAAATACAGGAAGAGGCCAGGGCAAGGCTTACCTCCTCCAATGAGGCTCCGCCCATAATCAATCCATGGAGGAATTCATCCATTGATTAAGTCAGAGTCCTTACACCTGATGGTCTCTGGAAACAAGTCCCACCCAGAGGTATGCTTCACTAATTTAGGCAAATTCTTTTTCTTTCTCTCTCTCTCCCTCCCTCCCTCCCTCCCTCTCTCTCTCTCTCTCCCTCTCTCCCTCTCTCTCTCTCTCTCTCTCTCTCTCCCTTCCTCTCTCTTGGCACTGGGGTTTGAACTTGGGGCTTCATGATTGCTAGGCAGATGCTCCACCACCTGAGCCACTTCTCAGCCCCATGTTTTTTCTTCATCTGGTTGACAATGAAGAAACATGATTTTTCATTGTGTTTGGATTTTATTATTTTTTCTTTAAGCTCTATCTCTATTTATGGCAAATAGAACTATCTCTTCCGAGCATAATAATACAATTCTTTTGAGTGTTAAGGGTTTTTGTGTGTGTTTTGTGCTTTTAAGTGATTTCTTTTCAAGGAAGGAAAGGACGGAGAGGGGAGGGGTAGAAGCACTGCCTTTAAGGATTCTGGATTCTGAGGCTGCTGGTTGGTTTTGCAGGCCCACTGCCTTCCCAGGTCACTGGACTGAGTCTTACTACAGGTCTCTTTGATACAAACTCTTTGCAGACTCTGAGAAGCTCTCTGTAGGTATGGGGGAGAGAGCCCTAGGTTTCAGTGTAAACTTTGTTTCTTTTCTGTTGCTGTCTGAAATGCTATTGTTAACTTTCCTGTCACCTGCCAAGCTAGAAGGAAAGCTCCAGGGAGACCAGGGCTGTGCCTGCCTTGCTCATGGGACTATAGGATGACAGTGCTCAAGGTATTATAGGTACCTGACAAATGTCCAGGGAATGAATGAGCCAATACTGAAATTTACTCTCATCCATTTCTCTGCCCAGATTCCTAGAGATTATGAGACATGCTGGGCTTGCATTCCTCAGTCAGGACTAATTGCTGGTCCTTCCCTTTATATAGAAACCAAAATACAGGGTGTTCTCTTCTCTAAGGAGCTTATAGTATTTCAGTAATCTTTTTTGTTGTTACTGGTTTTTTTTTTGAGGTACAGGGGTTCAAACTCAGGGCCTTCATCTTGAGCCACCTGCCTTTTCTTGTGATGGGTTTTTCGAGATAGGATCTCATGAACTATTTGCCTGGGCTGGCTTTGAACCGCCATCCTCCTGATCTCTGCCTCCTGAGTAGCTAGGATTACAGGCGTGAGCCACCAGCGCCAGGCTGTATTTCAGTAATCTTAAAATCACTCAAAGTAAGATGAGAGTAAACAATTTCTAGGCTTGACATCTCAAGACCTGGCTATGTAGCACACTGCAATGGAACACATTTCTTGGGTCTGATTCTCCATCTCTATGGGGAGCCTCAGAGCATTAACCTAAAATATCACACTAGCACCACAAATGTGCTTGAGCTTTGGAAAGGACTTTTGATGACCTAGAACTTTCTGTGATGATGGGAATGTTCCAGAGCTGCCCTATTCTGCAGGGTAACCACCAGACATGAGTGGCTATCAAACACGTTGCTAGGATAATACTACTTGATACAGTATTATTATAGTATAACTAATGTAACTAATTAATTATAATGAATAGAACTAACAGAATAACACTAGAATAATGACACTAGAATGCTGTCCCCCGACACACACGGCCCCTCTTACTCATCCTTCATTGCACCTATCATGTCTTGCAAGTTTTATTAAATTGTGCAATGATTTATTGTATCTCTTATCGAATTATACGCTCCAAAAGAGCAAAGACTGTCTGCTTTGCCATGACCCTGTCCCCAGTGCCTGGCAGGGTATCTGATATACTTAGATAATTCATAAATATTTGTTGAATTTAGGAATGAACAAATGAAAGAATAATGAAAAGAAATGGTTTCTTAGCCTCTGCTGATAATGAAGGAAAGGCCAGCCCATAAGTCATGAAATTTGTAAGTTAAATTAGCGCTCATGGGAACTGCCATTCCCCGAGTGTACATACACTGAATGTGCAAGTGTGTATACCCACGAGGGTTTGTCTTTGTGCAGTTGTGTGTACATGTACATGTCCACAGTTCTGTGTGTTGGGGCAACAAGGTACCTAAGAGTAAAACATATGCACAATCACCCAGGAAGGCAGTTTCTAAGTCATTTTTATTTTGAAAGATTTTTCAAACTCTGCACATCATGGTGAGAGCCTGTCCGATTAATAAGAAGCAGCTTTTTCATGAAATGCTTGGAGGTGAACAAGTTCTCAGCCTGTGAGATCCGACCATCCATTGACTTTGAAGTTTCTCTTGGTTAATAGAAGATGAAAAGTGGGAGGGGTCATTAAAAAGAAGAACATGCTAGAAGCCTTATGACAATCATCTAGATGTGGAAAAACTACAACCAATTCACCAACTCCACTTTTTCTGCCTTACAACTTTCTATGTCTCGCTCTTGATTCTGGCTTTCCTGCCTGAAACAGCCTCCCCGTCCCCAGAGCCTCCGAGAAGCCTGCAGTCCTCACAAGAAGTTAGGAGGGAGAAGCCCCCTGATATGTGCTGATCCACCCCTCAATTTCCTGCCCCCATCCCCACCCCGGCACTGATGGCCATAACTCCCAGAGTTTGATGTCAAAAGAAACTTCACTGGAGAGTGAAGGAGTTGATGGCAGGAACCCAGCCTTTGAGTTTACAGAGTTCCATAACAGCTCCAGAATCTTTCTCTTAGTCACAGCCCCAGGCAACCAAAACTTGCTATCTGTGGTTCTGGCTGGTGGATTCCACAGGGATCTCTCCCACCACTGGTCCTCCAGTCCCAGAAAACCCTTGTCCACACCATATGTCTATGTCCCTTTGCCCTCCTCCAGGCCACACCGGGAAGATACCCTGAAATAAAATTAACACAAAGTCTAACTTGGTGAGTATGAGATTGAAGTAGAAAAATAGAAAATCCAAAGATGCTGTGTGTGTGTCTAAGGCAGGCTTGGTTCCACCATAGCCAGAAAGATGATGGGCAGGCAGTGTTGCAAATGACAGGAGAGAGGTGGAGCTGTGAATGGGTGAGTCAAAGCCTTGAGAGTCAAGTTACAACTGAAAATGTCATGACTTGGGTTACAATTTCCATTTTTAGCACCGTTAATGTAGTCATTTAAATCTATGTTAGCACCTTATCCCCAGGCAGAACAACAAACCATCCAAACATTTTAAACTTTGGGGGAAACAGGAAGGGAGAGGTCAAATAGAGAGAATCCAGGACCTTCAGACGAGACTGTACTTTAGATCACAAGATCTTTGTCGATATCCTCTGCAAAGCAAGAAAAGAAACGTTGTTCAAAATGAGACCCCATAGCCATGAAGATATGTGTCCAGGGAGTTGCTGGATTCCCTCCATCCCAGGGACAGGGGCCAGTGACCAGCCCAAGGTCATCAGGAAGTTGGTGACAGGAATCTTGGTTTCCTATCTCTGGCTTGGCCCGGTTTCTTACACAGGCTGCCAAGTAAACTTCCTGTTTCCTCTCCATGAAAGAGGAGTTCCCAAAATAGGGCTGCACAGAGCGAAGCCTGGTGCTTGAGGTAGAGAAAGAGACATTTGGATGGACAGAGAAAGGTCTAGGTGAGTGAGCAAGGCCCTCCCCAACAAGGAGAGCACACAGGAGTCAAATAGGCAGAGTAAAGACAGGTGAGAGGACAGACAGACCCACAGTGAGCAGCCCACCACTCAGGGAATGGTGTGTCTCCCACGCCCCCATTTTAGACACTCACGCTCCTTGATGCCGAAGCAGCCGGCCCACTCTTCCAGAGCGATGTACTTGTCATTGTCCAGGTCACAGGTCTCGAAAAAGCGGGTGGTGCAGTGCTCCATGGGGATGAGAGGAGCACGCAGTGGAGCCAGCTCGGTGTGGGACAGGTACCTGCAGGGGAGAAGGGCCTGAGCTTGGAGAGTTACACACCCCAGTGTGGGCAGGTGGCAGTGTGCATGGAAGGAAACATGGTCAGTGTCAAGACCCTGGGTCTATCTATACCCAGCTCTGCCAGACCTGCAGTGGAACACAGGGTTCAGTGCTACTGCCCCACTCTGAGCTCAGTTTCCCCATCCATCAGAGAGGGGAAGAAGTTGGCCATCATTTCTAAGGACCCTTCCAGTTCTGATGTCTAAAGGGCTTGATAGCCCATTTCCTATTGGCAGAAGAGTCAGGGGACACAGAAACTTAAGATCATCAGTTAGGGGTAAGGCAAAGTCTGTCAGGAAACAACACTAGAGTTTTCTGTGAACACACACTGAAACAGCTGCAAATGCTAGGAAAGGCTCTGAAGAGAGCCCCACATGTGATAGTGCTGACTTCCCGGGAGGGTGTGGGACCGAGCTCTATGGGAGCTCTGACCTTCTGAGTTTTCCTTTCTGTGAATCATACAGCATCTGCAAGGGAAGCCCTTCTGGTCTCCCACTGCCTTCTGTCCCCCATCCTCGCTGCTGGCCTTGGCCTCCAGAGCACATGGACGTTTGTTTTCTCACATTTCCCAGACGTTTTCCTCAAGACTCTTCTCCCCAAGGGATTCCAAGGGAATATTGTGACTCCAATTATCTCTCTAACTTCCAGAACTCTCAACCCCATCCAGCTCATGGGAGGCACTGCACAATGTTTGAACTGGACACTCCCCTCCTTTGTCATACTGGTGAGAAAACGGGTTCAGGGAGAGGCAGGGGCACAGGCAAGGCCATCCATGGCTCTGGGACAGGAGGAGGAGGAGGAGGAGGTGACTCCCCTAACCAGGGTGGAGTGCTTTTCCATATGTGCAAGTTCCTTAGCCCCATCTGGAAACCTCCCTCCAAACTTCTGTGGGGCTGTGGGAGCCAGATGTTCCCCCCTGACTTTCCCCTCTCCTCCACAGTGTGACTCAGTTGGATCCCAGCCACAGTAAGAGCCTGGGAGAAAAGCAGCTGGGAGCTTCCCAGAGCCAAGGAGAGCCGGGCACCCAGGCTGCCGGCATACAGCCTGGAGACAGAGTGAGCAATAAGTATCCCAGAGAGCTGCTGCCTGGGCTCAGCTCGGTGTGCTCCCCTCTGTGTGACCATCCGCTTCTCATGATCAAAGGAAAGAGTGAAAAGGGCTCCAGGAAGGTGGTGGGCTTCCCCTGGGCTGAGCAGGGTTCTTACTCCCATCTCCACAAGAGAAGGTATTAGTGAGTGTAAGAACAGTGTCAGCTTGTATCACTGTGAAATTCCCTCCTAGGGATGTGCTGGGCACAAAGCAGACACTCAGCATGCCTGCCTACCTGCAGTGCAGCTACTTAGTGCTCCATAACTCACCTGGACAAGGGGCAGGAACCCTCAAGCCAGGGGCTTGCAAAGTCAATGTAACTGATTTGGAATTTTTTAGAAACATCCAGGGCAAGGCGGGCCCTGTTGGGATTTAGCTTCAGATGGGGTAACTGTTCATGGCTCCCCAACATTTTGTCTCCCCTGGCCCTGCACCCCTTAGAGTCTGTGTACCCTCCTACCTTACTCTCCCCCCACACTCTTGGGAACCCCATCCCCAGCCCTCACAGACCTAAGGTGTTTCCGGTTCCCATTGACTTCTGCCTCTGGCACGAAAGGATCTTACAGCATTTTTCTTATCACATCCTCATCCTTTCCCCAGTGCCATTCTGCCCAACTCCCAGGCAGACTGTGGAGCAGCAGAGGTTACCAAGAAGCTTTCTGGCCACACCTAGTGACCCTACCAGCCTTGGCCCTTTACTCCATCCACCCAGGGCCAGACCAGAGCATACCCCTGTGGTCCTGAGGCCAGTCTTACCCATCAATGGGGTGCTGGTCTAGTTGGCCGAATTGCCAGTGCACTGGGAAGATGTACATATTGTAGTTCTTCTCAAAGTCCCGGGCCAGCAGCTCCACGGGGTGGTCCCCGGCCTCCAGGCGCTTCTCATTCTCGTGAATCTTCTTCACCTGTGGGAACAGAGACACTGGGTGACAAGGGGTCCAGGGGAGGCCCCTTGGGCCAGTCAGGCCCATCCCACCTGTGACAGGAGGCCAGAGAAGGCAGATAACAGCCAAGGCTGAAGCTTCCAATGAGTGGAAGGAAGTGGCACAGATGGGGGCTGGCACCTCATTCACAGACTTGGGATACTGTCAAATGGTTCTCCATAGACCATAAGAGCCACCTGGAGAGTATGACATGTGGCTTCCTGGACCTTGTTTCACAGGGACACTGATTCAGTACTTGGGAACTGCATTTTATCAGCACCTTGAGGTGCCGATATGCCCATTTAAGTTTAACAGCCACAGGCTCAGGAGAACAAAGGAGTAGTGTTGTTTGTGTCTCTTTTGTTTAACCCTGGGCTAAAAAACTGTGAGGTCTCTTTACTGCAGGACTTCTCAGAGCCTGTGAAATACTACGGTGAGAAAGTAGTGTCCTGGGCGCAGGGAGGCATGCCCTGTGCGGGGCAGGGTGTAGCTTACAGTTGGGGCCTAGTTCTAGGGATCTCGGCCAGCAGGTGCCCTGGGCTGGGCTGGAAAGAGCCCACTTACTCTCAGCTTCTGCTTCTCGGTCAGAAGGTTGTTGTCCTCATCCCTCTCATACATGGTGACCAGGACGTTCTTGAGCCAATCCCGCATGCGCAGGGGGAATTCGGTCAGCTCAGAATCCAGGCAGGGGGGGATATCTAGGGTCCAGAACACAGATGGTCAGCCTAGACCCAGACTCTCCCCATCCAAGGGCTGGCGTGCTGCCCTGCAGCTTTCCCCACTCCATGCCAGCTCCCAAGGCCACTTCAATCGGTGACCTTGGCACAATGGACCTGCCTCTCTAAGCCAGTCTCTTCCCAAGTCCATGAGCAAAGGGAACTGTTTGGGAAGTATAAAGGCATGTCTGTGGCTTGCCCATCCTTGATCTTACCTGCTGAGGGGCACAGTTCACCCTGGTGGCTCCCCCCACCCCTAATTCTGGGTGATAGGCCTAGGTGTGATCCTGGCAAAGGTCGAGCCATGCACTGAGGTCAAATATTAGGGGGTGTCTGAAGCTGCCAGACTTAGACTTAACATTTGTGTACAGGTCCAGCTTGGTATGCATTGGGGATACGAGGGCTCAGGAATGCTTAACCACCAGAACTTTCTTAAAGATCTTGTCCTTATCTTTGGAACTTAGAACCCTTAAATGTCAGACCTTGCACTTTCATCCAAGTCTACCCTTGACTGAACTCACGAGAGGTCAGTGTGGAGAGAAGGCTCCCGTTCATACCGTTCCAGCATTTAGGGCCCAGGGGCTCGAGGCCTGCTTTTCCCTATGCATGGACTTGTGGGAAGCCCTTTGTGGGTTGGGACCACCGTCAGCTGGAGGGGGGAGAGACCATCTGTATAGGAGTTGGGGCATGTGGACAACGTGCCTCACAGAACAGCAAAGGCCATTTGGTACAGGCTCTTGGATAACTCCTTATCTCACTGCCCAAGAATTTCCTACCAGCTGTTCCTCCCCCAACCCTCCTCCTCTAATCTGTACCTTCCCTTTTCACATCCTGGGCTCCATAATTAAAAGAAGAGACCGAAACCACAAAGAGAACCTTCTTTCTTGTCCTCCCCACTTTACTCCAGCCTCCATGCTGAAGCAGAGGAGTGGCTCTCCTCAGTGCCACCTGTGCCATAATATGCCAGAGACAGCATGTAGATGTTATCTTGGAGAGGGAATGGGCCTGGTCTTGGGAGTCTCCAATATTAGGGAGGGTGCCGAATGAGGCTGCTGGGATCACTAAGGGCAGACCACACCCTGACATCACTTCTCCAAACACTGGACTCCCAGGTTTCTAGAAGAAGGCAGTGATCAAATGTTGTAAGAAGGCAGATAGGAACATAACGGGGTAAAGAGCTAAGTATACGACAATAGTGTAGAAAAGAGCATAAAGGAAACCAATGGGCAGGTCCCTATTTTAAGGCATTCAAATCCAAATATTTTTTAAATACTTGGTAGGCCCAGGTCAAACATTACTTTTGCTTTACAGTATAGGAGCAGGAAAGATTTGAGTTAGCCTTGTTAGTCTTATAGGAGCACTTCCTCATCATTAGGGAAAAGAAATGTGACTGTCTTGAGGGTTAGCAGGAGGTTCCTGGAATCTTCCTTGATCTTGTGCTCCCACAATGGCTCAGACCTTTCCTGGGAGGTGTCCTGAACTCAGAGAGAGAACGAGGGAACCAACTCATAAATCATCTCACTTTACAAATGGGAACCCTGAGACTCAGAGAGGGGAAGAGATTTGTCCCAGATTACACAGCAGAGGGCTGGGGCTAGGGCTGGGAAGCTGCAAGGATCCACGAATACACTCACACTTGCAAGGCCCAATGTAGTCCAGGTGGAGCTTGTGGCCCTTCTTGGTGCCCTCCAGGGTGCACTTTGTGGCAAAGAAGTGGCAGGAAGAGTCGAAGGTCTTGTTGTCATTGCTGCACACCTGTTGGCCAAGCACAGAGCACCCCTCCTTCATTCCCAAAGCCCTTCACTGGTACCACCTTCCTTGCCCATTTCAGAGATGGAGATACTGAGGGCCAAGCAAGGTATGTGATTAGCTCAAGGTCACGCAGTGAGTTACTGGTGATACTGGGACAAGAACCCACTTTTTGGCCTCCAGTGTTCAGCCCATGTAGAGTTAGCCACCATGATCTCGGGACACAGGCATAACTGATTCAGGGCTGAAAAACACTTCAAGGACCAGTTAAAGATGGGAATGTAAGGCTGGAGATGTAGCTCAGCGGTAGAGCTCTTGCCTAGCATGCCCAAGATCTTGGGTTCCATCCCCAGCACCACACACTCACTCACTCACAGACACACACACTCACACACACTCACTCACTCACAGACACACACTCACACACTCACTCACAGACACACACTCACACACTCACTCACAGACACACACACTCACACACTAGAAGGGCAGAGATTACTATCTTTAGAAAGGCCTGCTTGTAAGGTTAATCCCTTGGCTAGGTCTAGGAACCATAAACAGTTCCCTGCTGTTGTAAATCTTCCCGCACTCGTAAGGGTGCCTAGATAAAGGTGCCCCTCTGTGTCTAGACTGCCCGAACAAGCAATATACTTCATGCTGAACACCTAATCTCCAGCTGGAGTCTGGCATTTTGGTACATGCTCGACACGGGGTGTCCATGTGACCAGTCCTGAGTTAAAACTTTGAATGCTGAGTCTCTAGTCTCTTCTTCTGGGCAGAAGTATCACTCACATGTGACTTTAGTTGGTAACTGGGGTAGAAACGCACTCTCCCTCAACAGAGGAAGAGTACACAGTTCTCTGCATGGATGCCTCCAGTCCCTGCCTGTCTTTTCCCCATGTAATCCTTAATGTCCCTATAGTAAACCTTAGCGGGGACTACAACTGAGTCATTTGAGTCCTGCTAGTGAAACTATAGCCATGGGGGGCCTAGCAGAGAAGGCTGAGTGAGAACAGAAGGAGAGGGGTCTTGTTGAAAATCCCACAGGTGAGTATTTAGTGATGCTTACACATCATGATAGTGGGAGAATTTCTGGGCATTAGTGACCAGTGGGAAGTGGAGGTGGGAGTTAGTGGGAAGAAAGAGTTAATGATGCTCAAATTTGGAGCCCAGAGGATACAGTTGCCTAGGGGGAGAATGAAGGAGAAGCTGTGTGGAAGATTGTGGGGATGGTGCTAGCAAAAGATTTGCTACCCTTGGCTAGATTTCAACTAGCACAATGGTTGTCAAGAGGGGTATTTCAAAAAATACTTACTTGGATGGATGGATGGATGGATGGATGATAGATGGATGAGTAGACAAATGGATGTATGTATGGATGGATGAGTGGGTGGATAGATGGACAGATGGGTGGATGGATGGGTGGGTGGATGGATGGGTGGATGGATAGTTGGATGTTGGAGATAGATCAGATAGGTTTGAGGAATAAAACAAAAAACTAGTAGCACTTACTGGGTTCTTGTTATGTACCAGGCATTATCTAATAAATACCCATAAGAACCATAGGTGTTAAAGACCATTTTTATAGCTCTATAGACACAACAGAGCTGAGACCTTAGCTAAGGTCTTAGAGCTGACAAATGATGGGGATGAGGTCTGAAGTCAACCTTTGGTCTGACTGCAGAGCCCACGTTTTTGGATGTGATGTTCTGTTTTGCTCCGGAGAACACATTCTTACCTGAGATTATACAGAGTCTGGCACAGAGCTTGGACCTCGAGGTGATGATTCAATTCTCATTAATTGCCAGGGAGATTCAGGGCCAGGCAGAGCCTCACCTCTGACTCAGCCCCACTTTCCTGCCATGACTGGATCTAGCCTGTGGACCTCTGAGACCAGAGCTGCCCTGCAGAACCCCCAAGTCCCCAGTTTTCCCGGCAGATGCTGTGTGCTGTGGGCTCAGTTCCTCAGTGTTTACCTTCTCAAACTCGCCGATGGGAGCAGGGCAGCTGGTGGGGTCCTGACACACGCACATGGGGGTATTGCTCTCATCTAGCTCGCACACCTTGCCATGTTTGCAGTGGTGGTTCTGGCAGGGGTCTGGAAGGCACAAGGGTATAGAGTCAGCCCACCCAGGCTACACATCCACCTCAGACCATCAGAGCTTTCAGCATAGTTCTTGGCTTTGGCCCCCAATCTGAGCTTTGGGCATCCACAAGTCCTACCTGCTCTTGTATTGAGCCTAGAATCTGAATTTAGGGGCACAGTTGGCTCAGACTGGGGATTAGAGGTATAGTCCAAAGTTAGGACCAGGCACCTTGGGAGCCCAGAGGCTCAGTCTGGGACTCAGAAACACAAGATACATATGGCTGCCCTGACAACTGAAGCAATGACTGTGTTCTCAGCTTTCAGTCAAACAGTTCCAATGAGGCATTTCTCAATTCTAGAACAGACTTCTAGAAGGGCTGGGAAAGTCAGCTGTTGTCAATTGTTGGAGCCAAGAAACTCCAACAAAACATACTTAAGTGTCTGTAAGGGAAAAGGGAAAGCAGGGGAGGGCCAGGCTGAACAATGGGGCCCAGCTGTGTCTGTAAACACTGGAGGAGGTGGGCACAGAGGAAGGAAGGAACATGACTCAGCAGACGCCCCTCTGCTCCAACAAAAAACTCTTTGCCCAGCTCTGTCCAACTCCTTAGTTGTCCCCTTGGGACAAGCTTACTCCATCCATTTTCTCCTGACACTTATTATTGGATATTTTCACCATCTTGATTTGGATTCCTCGTCTGCAGGTACTGAGCCAAGTCCTCTCATACTTTGTGTCACGGCTCTCCCAGTACTCTGGAGCAAGGGCCGGCCATCTTCACCACTCCCATATTAAGAAGAGAAAGGCCAGGCCGAGCAAACTGTTGTGGAGAAGCTGAGATGCAAACCTTGGTTGGTTGACTCCCAAAGTCAATGCTCTGGACTCCTTGGGTACCAATACCTCTGCCTGTGGGCTCACCCCAGAGGTCCTAGGCCATGTCTTTCCCTCTGGTACTATCTCCATGGGGGGCATTATGAGTTTTGGCAGTTCCATTGGGTGAAAATCAAATAGTCCAGTGAGTGTGGAAGTTCTTGACCTCTATTCTCAGATCTGCTCTTGTGTGGAGCTTGATCTGATACAGAAACCATGGGGGATCTTAGTGACCAAATGTGACCGGTGACCTCAGTGGCATGTGAAACCCAACTGTGGAATCAGGGCAAAGAGCTGTGAGGGGAGAAGGCCATTTCCGGCTAGGGAACTTTCCTTCCTGACAGTCACAGCATGAATGGCCTCACTATAAATAGATCTTTCCCGGAGTCCAGCTTCCAGGGGTTGTATGCCAGAATGTTCCCAGCCATCTCTCCATAGTCACAGAGGGTCCCACCCTGCATGTCCTGGGGCAAAAACCACATGTGGGCTGTTCTTAGGCCCAGTCCCAGGCAATCAAGGGCAGATTGGATGTACCAAGTCACAGGGGAGGGACCTACTTTCAGCCACCACCTCCTCTACAGTTTCCTCGGCACCATCCTCAAATTCTCCCACTTCCACCTGGACAGGGTTGGCTCCCACAGGCACCTGGGATGGAAGGGAAAGAATGAGTCAAATGGTCCCCACCCCTGCCCCAGGTCTGGAAGACAGAGAGGGAAATGCCTAGAGCTTCAGCTACTCACAGGGGATGGTGAGGGACAAGCTGGGAAGGTGAACTGAATCCAAGTCACACCACAAATGCCAGGGTGGAGAATTTAGATTTAATCTTTTATGTATTATAATTATAAGACATTTTATGAAATGTCTTATAATGCCCTGGAATTCTGTTGAGATTGGGAGGCCACCAAGGGCGTTAGGGCAAGAAGGAATACCAAGCCCCCTCCACACGCCAGGCACACCCGAGCAACTCCACCTGATTGTGCAAGGGAAGCCTATGGGTGATTTGGAAAAAAAAAAAAAAAGAAGGATGAAAACTTTCAAAGTCATGGTTCCCGACTTCAGGAGCTATAGAAGGCATGGGAAGCATTCGGGAGTATTTGGGTGATACTCAGGATTTCCATCTGTGCTGTGTGTGCACACAGGAAGGGAATGAATGCCCCATTCCAGCATGGAGGTCCACTGCACCTGTCTGTATTGCCCAGGGAAGGGACTGGCCAGAGAGGGACTGCGGCCCTAGGTTACCATGGCCTGTATCACGTACCTCGGCCACCTCAGCCACGGTTTCCTCCACGACCTCTGTCTCGTCAGGCAGAGCTTCCTGCTGCTGTTAAAAAGAGAAAGTGGGTTCAGAGAGGTCAAGGCCAGCTTCACCTCCAAAGTGGCTCTAGTGGAACACAAGCTGGGGGAGCTCAGAGCACAGCCCACTGGAGAGTCCTGGCTGTGCCTCAGGGACCACCGCATGGAGGCAGGACAAAGAAGCCACAGGTACAGGGGCAGCCCCCCGCCCCTTTTATATCATTTATATCCAAGGCTATCCAAGATTTAACTTGCAGAAGCATTTCTGTAGCTTGCAACTATAACGTGTGACAAGCATGGATTCAGACAACTCTCCTCATTTCATGACACCCAGCAGGGATGCACACTGGGAGTTATAATGGATATTAAATTGAATCTTTTAAATCTTCCCCACTGTGTGACCTTATTCTTACTGCTATTAGGCAATTGTTTGGTTTTTTGGATTCTCAGAGCTGTTTAATCATGGTTTTCAGTACTTGAAGGGTGACAATGACTCTTTTCAAGTAAATTCACCAGGCACCCTTCTTCCCTGCTCCAATGTGAATAGCCTGAGCTTCCGACAACAAAAAAATGCTTTTGATTTCCAGGGAAGCCCATTCCTGGGCTGACAACAGGATTTCAGTTAGAACGAGGATGAGGAAAAGGACTAGGCAAGGGAGCCAGGCTGACGTTTAAATTCTTCCCAGTGCAAATTGCAACTAGACATGTAGGTACCCCTCCTAAAGGAAACACCCAGATCCAGCCACTCCCACTCGAGACTGCACGGCCCCCCCGCAGGGAGACTGAAGGCCAAAGTTCATTTCATAACACTCCTCCTGTAGTGCACCCACAAATCTCGAAGTCTGAGCAGTTGTGGCCCTTGCATGACAACAGCAGCCTTCCTCTGCGGGCCCTCAGCTGCTGCTGTCTGCCTGGACATAAAGGAGCAGCCAGTTCGTGTGTGGCTGTGGGGTGTGCGAGGGGCCAGAATAAGCAGCAAAGTGAATCAGATGTGTGTTCTGGGGCTGAGATGCCATGTGCAGGACCACTCGCAGCCCTGTCGGCCACAGGGCCCTATGTCCTCCACCAATTCTTCTCCGTGTGGTTTCTGTTCAGGACAGCTTTAGGGGCAAATTACAGCTTGTCCTTAAGGCTCACCACTTGGGTATGGTCCTTGCCTAGCAGCTCATCCAGCTTGCAATCCTCCTGGCGCTGTAAGATGAGTTTTTCCTCCTCCACACGCTGGGGAGACTTTCCCCTGATGAACCATTCCAGGTGGTAACCCACAGCCCCGACCACGAAGGCCACAGGAAATGTGACATAGGGAGCATAGGTATGCACCATGGTCCAAAACACAGGCCACATGACATCTGTGGCCCAGCTGGCCCTCCTCTGCCTGGGCCTGCTCTTCACCCACTAGCCAGGGAGCATAGACAACACAGTTCCCAGCGGCCCATGGGGCAGCACCTCATGACCACTATTAGACAATTCTTTCTTGCCATATCAACTCAGAGTAGGAAGGAGTGAGGTAACTTTGAGGACCTGGCTGGCTGGAGCTGCTTCTAAAATTAATGCCAACCTTGCCAAATCTTTTGCCAAAATCTACCAGCCTGATCAATCTGGCCATTGTCTACCATTGCTCCCTCTTCCTAGAGAAGGCAGGAGGGAATACCAGATTGAAAGAAACTGCTCCTGTTGCCTGCCCCACAGTTCCTTCTCCCTGTTCTGGTGCTGGCTCCCAGATTAGTTTAGGTTAGCCATCTTGGCCCTCTGTAGCTACTGTCTGTCAGTCAAGGATTCCCACTCTCCCTTGGCCCAGAAGCAGGCCCAAGACCTGGGGCTGCCCTGTTCAAGTCCTCCCCAAGGCCTTTGATGTTAGTCTATGCCTGCGTCTCCCTCCACCAGTTTATTTGGATTGGAGTCTTTGCTTGCAACCAAATAACCTCAGAAACTAACCCATCCCTCTCTCTTGTTGCTTGATTCTCTTCTAACAAACATCATCCTCACTATATGAATTCTTCATATGAAAAAGGCCAATTCCTTCTACAGCAATTCTGCAGCCAGAAGCTCTGAGTGCTAAAAAGTTGGTCTTCAAGTTACCTAGAGGGCCAGGCACCGGTGACTTACACCTGTAATCCTAGCTACTGGGAAGGCTGAGATCAGGAGGATTGCAGTTCCAGGCTAGCTTAGGCAAATAGTTCTCAAGACCCCCATCTCCAAAATAACCAGAGCAAAATGGATTGAAGGTGTGGCTCAAGTGGTAGAATGTCTACTTTGCAAGTGTGGAGTCCTGAGTTCAAACCCCAGTCACATCAAAAAAAGAAAAAAAAAAAGAAAAGAAAAGAAAAAAAAGTTAATAGAGTTCTGTCTTCTCTGGAACCTAGTGGTTCTTATCCCAATTTTTCTCTTGAGCTTAAGAAAAAAGTATGTTTAAAAAAACGATCCTCTGCCTCCTCCTCCCCTGAGCTGCCAGATTCAGAAGCCTTGGTTTGGGTGGTAGGAGGTAATACCAAGAAGATCGGATTTTTTTTTTTTTTTTGGCACCACCAGGGTTTGAACTCTGGACTTCACGATTTGCTAGACAAGTGCTCTACCACTCAAACCAAGCACCCAGCCCTTTTTTTGCTTTAGCTATTTTTCAGATCAAATCTTGCCATTTTTTGCCTAGGGTTGGCCTCAGACTGGGATTCTTCTATGTACACCTCTCATGGAGTTGGGATTATAGGAATAGCCACCAAGCCCAGCCAATGATGGGATGTTTAGATACTTACAGAGGCTGCTAAGGCCCTCCCGGCCAGGCAGAGGAGAAAGAAGATCCAGGCCCTCATAGTGCTGGGGACTCTGCAGGAAGAAGAGAATAAGAGTAGTGAGGAAGTCAACATGTGAGCTCCTGAGATAGGCAAGGTGATTTAGATGGTGTGTTTTAAACAGTGATGAAAGATGGGGGAGCAAGGTATTTCCATTCAATACCCTCTTGATCCTGATTACATGAGGAGAAAGTTCCAGTTGAGTGCTAAGATGCCTCTAACATCACCAGCATTCAAGACCAGCCTCTGGCTCAGAGCCTCCACAGGAAACGATATGCAGCTGGAACGGAATGAAGTTGTTTTCTTTGTTCATTTTTACAGTTTCCTTCTGTTGATGACGAAGGTACCCAGAGTTCTCCATTTATGGTAATGACATGAAGTCTCCTTCCTAAATACGTTTATGTAAGTTTTTTTAAAAAACTCAGTTTAGTTTGGGCAATGATAGTCCTAGGGGTCCTTTGATCTAGAATATTCTAAGATTATTTTTCTTCCTACTCCTGGGTCTCTTCTCCTCTTCTTTCTCCTTCTCCTTTTGTTCCTCTCCCTCCTCCTCCTTACTCTCTCTGCAATGGGAGAAGTTAATGGGCAGCTGGCCTCTTGCCAGTTGGAGACAATGAGAACTGCATTTTAAAACAAAGAACAATAGAATTGAAGTGTGACCCATGGAAACCTGAAGGTGGCCACATTTTTCTGCATTCTACCCGGAAGGGACTTTACTTCTCTGGATCCTCCAGGGAAAGTACCCAGATGCTTCCATATGATGGCAAGATGTCAGCTGACACCTAGAAAGTTCCCCTGCCTTCTCTGGTCACTGCTCACAGCCAAGATCTAGACTCTAATACTCAGTACCAAAATGTCATCCCTAACAGGCCATCCAGCATGGGGACATTTTACCTCATATGCTAACTAAATGGACTTCCATTTCCAAATCGCTTTAGAAAGTTCCTCCTTATTCTGACCTAAATCTGCCTCCCTCAAACTTCTCCTAGTCTATACTGACTTTCTCTGCAGCCACACAGAACAGACTGCTTGCTCTGCCCCCAAACAATCTTGTAATTAAGGACAGGAGTGGCCTTGTCTTCTCTCTTTTGTTCCCCAAAACTTCCATATCAGGCTCATCATCCTTAGTCCCTTGCAAGACTTCTCCACTGACCAAGCATGGTGCTAGAGAGTACCCAGGCATTACGGGGGAAAAAACCCACTGGACTTGAAATTCAATACCAGGAGTTCTCATTCAACCTCAAAACTGCCCTGATGTATTGGTTAAGTCCAATGTCCTGTCTAGACCTTGATTCCCCCATCCATTAATTGAGAGGGTTAAGTAAGTGAATTTTGAGGGTGAAGATTGGGTCCTTAAAATGTTCTTACAATCACGGGTGATGCTGGGGGTATAGCTCAGTGGTAGTGTGTGCTTAGCACGTGCAAGACCCTGGGTTTGATCTCCAGCACTGAAAAAGAAAAAGATCACAAGCAGCACACGCTGATTTTGACATACCCCTCCTCTGGTATCACCCATTTTCCTTTGGATTTGAGTAGCAGGAACAGGCAGAGGGAGAGCAGGCTTAGAACAATCCTTTACTGTGCTAAACAAGACAAAAACCTAACCTCCCAGTTTCATGGAGTGTGCGTGAAATAAAACTAACAACAATTTAAAGGAAATGGGAGCTTCACAATGGTCCCAACACCAGAAGAGTCCAGTCTTCCCTTTGCTGGCAGTTTCTAGAATGTTCCCGCCTCTCACACACTTGTTTCCCCAGGCTTATATGGAAAAAAGCTCCCTTCTCGCTTACCCATCTGGAAGATACAAGTGGCTTTGGACAAATGGAACAGAAGAGAAAACACCAAGGAAGGACTTTTGGAGATTGTTGGAGGTTGAAGAGTCAAAGTGAGAGTGGCAACTAGAACAAAAGAAGTCACTCTGTCCCTCAGTCCAGGCTATAATGACAGAGAAGTCATGTCACTGGGGAAAGCCCAGCTAGGAGTGGGCATGAAATAAGCTTCAGGTTAGAGGGTCAGGAACACCGAAGCTTCCCAAGTCTGTCTCTCATCCGGGCAGAGGAAGCCATTCCTCTTGGCGCGTGAGGGCTGGCTCTCTGGCTGTCCTGCCCCCCAACTTCCTGGGCCTTTCCCAGCTGCACAGCACCCTCTGCCACCCATCCCTGGGCCTAAGTCTTGGAGCTTTGTAACTTCTAAAGCCCTTTCACGTGCACATTGTCCCTGGGAGCTTTGTGACCAACACCAGGAAGCATGGAGGGTTCTGAGTGTTACTTTCCCATGATGTATGTGAACCTGAGACAGAGGAAGCACTGGCATGGTCACACAGCACCCAGGCCCTTTCTAGAGATAGGTTTTGCCCAGTTGGGGCCAGGCCCAGAGGCTGGGGTGGGGACAGGGAGAAGTACAGACAGACTGTTCAGAACAGAGCACAAATCTTGGAGAAGGAATTCTTTAACATGGTTGAGTTTTGCCCAGTTCTACATCTCCAGTCCCTGGCCCTTTTCCTCCAGATGATGGGGACAGAGGGCAGGGGCAGCTGAACAGTCTGAATGCCTACCCACGCTCCCTACATGTGCATGAGACACCTCTGAGGTTCTCTAGCACACCACAGGCCCAAGAGGCCAGGGTCTATGCTGCCAAGCTTGTGAGGTGCAACAGTCACCCCATTCAAGTCCAGCATTTAGGACTGATCAGCTGTGATCTTCTCCAGTCACAGCTAGGCCTAGCATGCCCAGTGACCATGTAAACCAGTGATATGAAAATGTCCTCTTGCTATCTTTTCAGTGTATGATGGTGTATATTTATCCTTTTCAGAGTGTTCCCATAATCCAGCATTCCACGGATGGCTCTAGTAGGTCTTTCTGCCCCATAGTACAGATGAGAAGACTGAGACCTAGAAAGAGGAAGAAATCTGCTGAGATAGCCAATAGGGCATGAGTAGCAGCGCTAGGATAAGGACACAGGCCACACTGATGTGTTCTCTCCCTGGGCATGTTGTTTCCCTTGGCGGTCACTCCTTCTCAGGTAGTCACCTGAGTGGGGCCCAGTGGACTGAACTGGCCTGAGGTGCAGGAAAGAATAAAGAACGCAGACACCCCTTTTCCCACCCTGCCGCTACCCCCTCCTGTTCCGTACACCAAGTCCCTTCCTTTTGCCTTTATTTGCTCTGGAGAGGGCTGAAAACCCAGCCTTGGCTGCCAGCAGGACCTGAAGCTAAGGTCAGTTCTCTCTTTTTGGAAAGACTCTGGAGATGGAAAAGTACAGCCAGCCCCCCAAGCTCGCCTCCCTCCAAACATAAAGGGCCTCCTTCAGGCTCCCCCTTGACATCGGGAAATCACTGATTGTCACAAACGGGGGGAAATCTCAGAATTATAGAATCGTAGACTGTGTGACTTGGAATCCATAGACCTTAGAAGTGAACTGCAGAATCCGAGTTCAGTCATTTCTTCTCATTTAAGTGGAAAGAGTTTACGGAGGAGCACAACCCAAAGAAACTTCCTGAAACAACAAAAGTCTTCAAGACTGGCCTTGTCTGGTATGGCAGCTACTAGCTACGTGCTTACTGAACACTTGAAATGCAGCCGGTGTGAATGAGCAGCAGAACTTTTAATTAATTTTATCTCTTTTTAACTTAGATTACCATATGTGGCAATTGGCTGCCATAGTAGACTGAGTGGTTATGGACAGTAAGGCATAAAGGTAAGCTCATGGGCTCTGGAGCCTAAATGTACAGGTTCAAGTCCTGACTTTGCCACTTAACATCTGTGTGACTTTCAGAAACTGACTGCCTCTCTGGTCCTGAATCAGTTCCCCATCTGTAAAATGGAAATCACAACATACCTACCTTGAAATGGTTAGGGGTGATCTACATGACAGAACACAAGTGAAGAGGTAAACCATGCCATTTGGAAGAGCATCTTAGCATCCAAGGATCCCAGAATCTCCATCCCTCTCAAGAATCTAGTACTAAAGGGCTGGAGGTATGGCTGAAGTGGTAGTGTCTGCCTAGCAAGAGCAAGGCCCTGAGTTCAAACCCCAGTACTGCCAAAAGGAGGAAGAGGAGGAGGAGGAGGAAGAGGAGAGGGAGAAGAAAGAATCCAGTGCTTTTAGTCTGCAGGTCTAGAGGAAAGGAATGTTGGAGAGGAGCAAGGGAGACACTGCCCCTGTCGGTTTGGGAGATACCAGCTCAGCCTCTAGAGGACAGCGTGATGAAGACCAGATCCCAGGATGGCCTGTTAGTGAGAGGGTTGCTGACCCAAGCCAAGCACCTCATTCCCACAGTTGGACTTGGAAACAAGGGCTTCAAAAATCACACAAGCCCAAAGGGAGGAAAACAAGTCTGGAGGCTAACAGAGAAAGTCATGTGCCAGGCTCTCCCAGAGCCAGGACTCAGAGGCAGGGAGGAGGGCTCTGCCAGCTAAGCCAGAGAAGTGGCACTGTGGCTGATGTGTCTACACTGGTGTTCCCACTTATGCCCTGGGTCAGACACTGTCACTTTAGAGGAGGCCTCACGATGTGGAAGTCAGGGGTCCTGAGACTTGCTCCCAGCTCACTGTGCAAACAGGAAAGTCTTCTGCTCTCTAGACTTAAGCTACCCTGACCTTCTATACAGTAAGAAGGCTGTTTTAGATCAGTGGTGTTCAATTTTGTAAGGCAGAAAATCCTCTCTGTCAAAGAAGTTTTCTGCAGAAGTTTGGTGTCTTAAACAGCTGAAAACTCCTGAGTTTGTTGGAACATATGAATGTGTCTATTCAGTAAACGAGTCCAGATTTAAAAAAAATAAGGGCAGGTAAAACTAGATTGGAGTTGGGGACAAGGAGTTCTACACACTCTTACAGCTCCTGAGACACCTTGGAGCATCCGAGGTTCTCCTAGAAATAGCTAAAAGCCTTGGGCAAGGTGGTCCCTAAAATTCCTTTCAACTCTGACTTCCTGAATCAACTTGAGCAGAAGCTTTTTGGACTACCACCTCTCCATACTTGCCCCTTGACTCCCTGCTTCCACTTCTAGTATTTCTTGCTGGAAAGGAGGAAGCTAAGGGAAGCTGTGAAGACATAAGGGGTTTTAAAACCTAGGATGGGTGAGGTTCTGGAGCCATTCAGAGGCTCCAGAGTTTAAGGCTGGACTTCACCCAACAGAGATTGCACAAAGGTTCCTAAGATGCCACGTTTTGCTGTGGCTAGCCCAGACTCAGGGTGGAGTTTCAACATCCTCCTTGGCACCCTCTAGGGGACTGTTGCTGCATAGGCGTGACCACAAATGCAGGGAATAAGAAATAACCTCAAAATGCCCAGGCTGTCGCGTCCGCGAGGCCTAAGAGATCCCAAAGACAGCATGTGCGCCGCGTGGCAGTATGCCTCCACTACCGCTTCTGTGCATGTGGCAGACGTTACTGACCAATCATACTACCTTTTTGCCCAGTCAAAAGTGGCATCACATCCTGAACACAGCTCTTCTGGCAGCCACTACCAGGGGATTGCTGTTGTCTGGCCATGTGGAAGTTCTTTGCTGTGCCTCTAATTTTAGAGATAGAGAACTTGAGGCTCAGGGAGGAAAAATAACTCATTCAAGGTCACATAGCAAGTTGCTGTTCTGAGCCACACTTCCAAATGTTCAGAAATGTCTAGATGTTTACCGTGCTTTGTTTGCTTTGGATTTTTTTTTTTTTTTTGAATTGTACTACGGTTTGAATTCAGGCCCTCGTGCTTACTAGGCAGGCACTCTACCACTCCTTTTTTGTGTTGAGTATTTTTGAGATAGAGTCTTGAAAACTATTTACCCAAGGTTGGCTTTGAACCATGATCTGCCTGATCTCTACCCTCCCGAGTAGCTAGGATTATAGGCGTGAGCCAGTGGCAATCAACTTGCTTTTGTTTTCTTTAACCCATCTAAGTCTGAGATCCTAAAGGCATGACTAGCATTTAGGAATCCCTAAATGACGGGTTAACACCAAGTTTCTGGAGAGACCCGGCACTGGTTTGGATTGGTGCCTGTTCATTTCCTCCATGGCTGGAGGGGTGAGAGCAGAGCTGACCCACTGGCTAAGACATCCCCCGGCTAAGGAG